AAGGAAGTCCTTCATGAAGTTCGTTGATGGAACCGAGCGCATGGAGGAGGACCAATGGAGCTGGCTGGACGACAAGCGGCCTACGCGAAATTGGTGGAAAGGGTACACCGAGTTCAAGGTGGACCAGCAAGTGGCGGTGAATCAGACCTTTACTACAGCAGGAAAGAGACGTGGAGATGGAGAAATCTACAACCACGAGATCCCGGAGGGCGAGAGAGCGGAGTGGAATTGCGCGGACAAGGAGGAGTGGCAAAAGATTGTGGAGAGCGGCGCGGTCAAGGTTCTCTCTGTGGAGGAGTCGCGGAAGGTGACGAAGGAGCTGGAGGCTCGGGGAGAACTTGGACGCATACTGCCGACAAGAATGGTGAGGCGCTACAAGCCATCGGAAGAGGTTGGAGTGCCTGCGTCAAGAAAGAGCCGATGGTGTGTGCGAGGGGATAAGGATCCAGACATCCTGGAGTTGCAGCGGTTTGCGCCGACGGTGGCAACTTCATCTCTGCAGGTGGCAATGCAGGCGGCGGTCAATCATGACCTGGAGTTCAAGATCGGAGATCTCAAGAGTGCCTTCACGCAGTCAATGCCTTTGATTCGAAGGCGCGGCAAGCTGTGCTGCAGGCAGTGTCGAGGGGGGCACAACGACCTGGAGGAGGAGCAGCTGGTGGAGATCGTTCTCGGGTGCTATGGTTTGCCGGATGCCTGAGCCTTTCTCGCACAAACTTCTCCATGTCGATCTTCACCACCCCGTGCTCCATTCTGATCCTCCTGCCATTGAAGCCCACTCCTTTTGCAAACTTGAATCGCTCCTGCAACTTCTTCACCCGCTCATGATGCTCATCTTTGCCCATGAGCAACAGGTCGTCGACCTCCACCAGGACGATCCCCTTGAGAAGACCTTGCACATGAAGTAGGAACATGCAAGGATCCATCCTTGAAGGCGTATATCCCAGGGTACCGATCAGCTAGCGTCTCAAAGTCCGCCTCCAGTGCAAAGGCCGAGATGAACATCGAGAAAGAGCGGAAGAAGCATCCTGGAGCTCTACTACAGGTGGTGGAAACGGCAGCGGCTAGGAGTGTGTGTGGTGCTTTGAATTGGATCGGAAAGGAGGGACGTCCCGATGCTGCGGCAGCAGCATCCCTCTTTTCATCCAAGCTCAAGAAGATGACCATTGCCGATGTCATCGATATGAACAAGGCAGTGCGCAAGATCAAGGACAACCCCACTTTGTCTTTGCAGATCCAGAAGCTGGAGAATATGCGGCGGGGTGCTAGCTGGGCCAATACCGAACCGCTCGCAGGGTGGCCACGTGGTGATTACCTTCAACAAAGAGCTGATGAGTGGAAAGCGGGCCAAGACGAACATTCTGATGTGGAAGAGTGGCAAGCTGCCTCGAGTCGTTGGGTCTTCGCTGGCCGCAGAGACTCAATCATTGGCTCGCGGTGTGGGGGAGCTCATCTGGGCCAAGGTGGTGTATTTGGAGATTGTAGATCCCACTTTCGAGTTGAGGGACTGGCAGAATCAGGTGCGCGAGGAAGGATACCTTGCTCTTGCTCGTGAAGACAGTGCAGAGCAGCTGAAAGAGGCATTGGCGGTGGTGGATGCAAAGCCGCTGTTCGACCTGATCAGCCGGGATTCTCATGGAGGTCAGGATCGCCGAACGGCGATCGACATCCAGTTGATCAAGGAGGAGCTGCGAGTATTGCATGGAAGTGTGCGTTGGGTGGAACACTTGGACATGCTGGCGGACAGCCTCACAAAGCGCGACGGGTCCACGGAGAGCTTGGCGAAAGTCTTGGAGTCGGGAGAGTACGGCATCGAGGCTGAGAGCAGTGTTTTGGCCAGGAGGGCCGATTCAAGGGCGAAGAAATTTTGAGGTGCTGTGAAATGGAGTACAGGCCTCTCGCCCTTGAATCATGTGCAGACTTGAGGCTTCATGACCAGAGCCATGGCTCCGGGCGGGAGCCCCCGCATGTGTAGCAAAATAGGCCGCTGACGAGCATTCGTTCGTCAATATCTATATAAACCATGTTAGAACCAAGAGTCCATGGAGTTGGGTCACAAGACCCTGACACGGTTCACATTCTTGCCAGCCGCCGGCGCACAAAAGGCCATCGGATTGTGATAAAGCCTCCCCAGTGCTTCCCGATACCACACGAAAAAGGCAACCCTGCGGTATGGTTATACATCATGGTTTCCCTGGTTACCTACTTGAACTGGAAGCATCGGGCTCCAAACAAATCCAAACGCCTCGGGCTTTGGTCGCTTGAGGTCACCCCGGGACTGGGGCCTTCTATCGGAACCCGCTGCGCGAGAAGGTAGGACATGAATTTAGGGGCCTGGGGCTTGTGTGTTTGCGTGTCTGTGTGTTTGCGTGTCTGTCAGCATCTGTTTGCAGCTGTGTGAAGCTGTGTGCAGCTGTGTGTCTGTTGGTGTGTGTGTGTGTGTGTGTGTGTCTGTGTGTGTGTGTTGCGGGCCTTCAAGGGATATAAGTATAAGCTTTCCTTTTGGGTTGATTTCCCCATTCTTAGCTTTTTCAATCATCGTTCTTTTCAACCGGCCATTTTCAGGATCACTGGCAAGAATGGGGAAGGTGCCCTTAGAACCTTGTTGTCTTGGAAAACGTCTTATGCCCAAAGGGGCTGGATTGTTTTTGGGCCCTCCACCATTGTTTTCTTCAAGGGCACGAAGGAGGAATTGGTTGGGGCTCTTCATTGTGGAGTTCGGGGTCACCCCGATTCTTCTTAGCGAGACTCTACCCGGATTCAAGTAGCCCAGACCCGAAAAGAAACGAAAACCATGGCAGGTGCTTGCTCCGGACATGGCGCCAAAAACCGAGTCTCAAAATGACATTGGCGATTTTAGTAGGTAGCACCTACCTGGTTGGGAACAAATGAGATTATGGTGGCTTCCCTCCCCCCCCAAAAAAAAGCAAAAGCAAAGAGAGATCCTTACAAACGGTGCCTGCAGGGAGTCAGGAGAATTTCTCAAAAACCCGGCAGGCGGACAAGCCGATCCTCATGTCGCTGGGGGAGCCGGTCCCTCAGAAAAAACATTGTCCCGAGTCCCGGCTGTTTTTGTCCTTCAAACATGGGAGTTGGAGTGGAGTTTGTGGGTTGGAGCGGAGTTGGAGTGAAGTTGGTGGAGTTGGTTGGAGTTGGGCTGGAGTTGGTGGGTTGAGTTCATGGACTTTCAGCTTGTGGGGAACCAAGATAGTGGCATACAGAAGGTTAAGACTCTTTCTGGGGAACTGGGTTAAATCGCTCAGATGGCTTTGGAAGCCTGAGTCCTCCTTTGTGTTCTGTTGGGTGTAGCTTCCCTCAACGCCGGCCAAAGTCAAGATAGTTGCGAAAATCAAGGTTACCTTTGTGGTTTCCAGATGCTTGTTCGTCATGTCCAAAGCCGCAAGTGCTGTCCAAGAACAAGTCCGTCAGAGTGCTATCTCCCACGAGCTGTGTTTGTTGTGACAGCTGCATGACTTTCGAGCTGCTGCGAACATGTGTTTCGTGTACTCTTCTAGTAACATGGCACCTGACGGGGGGTCCCTTGAAGAGGAACAGTTAGTGGGAGGGAGGGTACTACTTTCGTTCAGAAAAGTTGCGCTTTTCGAGCCGGCACTGCAGAAGTGCGCTTCGTGTACTGCTGTTGTGAGGACTGCTTTTCCCGGTGTCCAAAAACCTGCTGTCCAAACGTCAGTCGTTGAGAGGTGCTGGCAAGAATCTGGCGTTTTCGATCCCCTTGTGATGGTGTGGGAATTGCAAACCTCAAGGTGTCACTCAAGCCCTTGAGCGGTTTTGCTTATGTCATGGGTCCCGTGGTGTATCAGTGTATCCCCTATACGCGTCCCTTTCAAATGGCCGCTGCGCGCAGCGGCTGCGGGGTGTCTCTGAGTCCTTTTCCAAGTGGGGCGGCCCCGATCCAAATCATGGGGTTTGCTGATCCGTTCTCATTGGCCCAACCCCGGGGGACGCCACATCGGTTTCCCTAAGAACTCGGCCAGGTATGAGTTCAATTGCCTCGACGATGCTTTGCAAACTTGGCACTGCTCGGACCTTGGGCCAAAAGGTGCATCCAGATGCTCCCTCTGGAAGTCACCTCATGGAACCAAACTTAAAAGTCGCGACACCATTTGTCAAGGGTCACGCAGACTCCAAGCATACTTTCAGTTTGCCTTTTGTGGAGAAGACTCGACAAATGGAATTGGATATCTTCCCACCACCCTCCGCCTCAGCTTGTAAGGCGAGGTGGGGCATTTGGGGAGGGGGGTTCGGTTTCTGCCTGATTTCATCGTGGCTATCGGCCGTTATGTAAACCTCCAGGTAGAACCGTAGGGCAGTGCGTTCATCGGGCGCTCTCCGCGAGCTGCACAAGAGCCCGAAGCCAGTGTAACCCACAACCCTTGCGTTTCTCAATTTTGAGTTCATGGACTTTCATCACTTTTGGGGCTGGGACCATTTCAGTGGAAAACGAAAAGTTTGGTTCCTCTTTACGGCCATCCAGTCAGGGAGTGGGTTTTGTTGGTTCAGAGGGACACTCCAAATGGCTTTTCGGCTCCCAGCTCATGGACCTCGGCTTTGTGGACGCCAGACGGCATCTTTGGAGAGTTCAGCTGCCCAAAGCCGCGGCTTTTTTCTTTTCGCGTTGAAGCATCACTTCTTGGACTCAGTTCGCTGGTTAGAAAGATGGGCCTGCCGGAACGCAAAGGCTTTGGTCCTTCCAAAGGAGTCTCCTCTACAAGTCCAGGCTTTTGGGTTCCACATCAGGGGAGTGTTTGCATGTTCTTCCAGGTTTGCATCTTGAATGCTATAAGTACATGTTTGAGCTGCAACTTCATGGGGTAACTATGTTCTCACTTACCCGCGAGAAGTTTAAGTTTAATCTACCAAAAAGCGCGTTTCCCCAAGGACGGCCAACGTACTTTTCGCTCGCCAACGTTGTCCTCTTTTTGGGCCGGGGGTTTCTGGATCGTTAGACTGCTTTGTTGGGATATCAAAGTCAGCAACCAATGAGGCGGGTGACTTTGGTAGTGGCAGAATATTGGCGCCACGGTCTCTTGCCATCGTCATCTCAGGCGTGAGCATGCCTGAAGAAGTCTTCCGGAAGACTGTGCAGGGCTCCCAGCCTCCGCCATCCCCAAACCTTCATTTGCTTCGCAAATCTCGCAGGGCGTCTTTTTCTTGATTCAACGGCCAAACACCTGAGTCACATGATTGGTCGGCCTGTATGGAGAGCCGGGTCGGTATTCCAATGGCAGAAAGGCAACCGACAGCGGGTCTTTACCGGGTGGAGGGTTATACCCCCTTGCCATGGCTCGGAACCAGTCCTGGTTGGTAGGTGTTAAAGGGTGAGGGCCCCCTAAAAGGAAACACTGGCATTTCCTGTGCCTCTTTTCTTCTTCCATTTGTTGCAATGAGGATTTTGTGTTGCTCTCCCTTGTTGGTGTTACTACTGCACATATTGTCCCATGTTTTTTTTTTTTTTTCAGGGGGCGAAAACAAACCTGATTTTTCCATTCGTTTCAGGGGCCGCATTCGCACATGGCAGTTTTTGAGACCACAACAAATGGCTGTGGGTCAAAACCAATGGGATCCCAATATGGGGTAGGCGCACCACCCATGGTCTATTTTGAGTGGGGATTGGGATGTTCACTGGGGGTACGATTTGGCTTTCGACCCACGGCTCAATCCATCAGCCGAGGCTGGGGAAGCAGGCGGTGGAGCCCATCCCTCTGGACACCAAGCAGAAGGCGGCGCTTCGGCGCCTGGAGCGCGTCACCGGCCGCTCAGCTCAGCTCGGCTGAGCGGGGGGGCGCCTTCAGCGCAGGGTTTGGTAATAGGTTCTGTGTACCAAGCTGCCCGAGGTTTCCCAGTAGTGCCCTTTTACCGTTTCGTTTTTGGGGGAGGGTTCCGTTACTAAAATCGACAACAGAAACACGGGTACCCTTATTCTATCCTTTCCAGTCGAGGACCTAGCTGCCATTTCTACCACGTTTGAGCCATATGTACAATGGCCACTGCATGGCCACAGCCATATAGGTACAGCATTGTGCCGTGGCCATATATCCATTTGTACATTGTTTTTAGCCAGGTAGTCAGGGCTTGACCGGGTTGACATCCTCTCAACCCTCAAGGGTTCAATTCGATGGTTTTTGGGGCCCCAATGGGTTGTTTTTGAGGGCCGTTAAGGTTGAGGAATTGGTCGCTGTGGGTTCTCCGGTGGAGCGCTTTTTACGGGGTTTTGCACTGGAGGAGTCGGACGTTTCAGAGAGGGAGGTTGGTGGTCAGAAAGTTTGGGCGCCGGGGGCCAACTCTGTGACCCCCAAAATGAGGTGATCCTACCGGAAGTGTTGACTCAAAATGGAACAGACTCGGAAATATATGATTCGAGGGGTATGCTGGGGTAGCACAGCCCTGGTTGATTTTGATTGGGGGTGTCCCAGCCAAGCGGGAATCTGAGTAAATACCCTCTGATATGATATATCCTCCTTTTGGCCCACTTTTTGTTGATTCGTGCGGGGACGACATTATATAGTTCTGACCGGGGTCGGGCCAACGACTTCTGCAAACATGTTTTAAGTCCATTGTTCAAACTGCCCCCCTTGCTTGTGAAAGCCCATTTGCCTGCTCCTGACGGACACAATGCAGGACCGCGTATTCAATGGGCACCCGATGGAGAAACCATCTTCGCCCGGTTGGTTGTTTCTTTGTTTGGTTCGGCCCACAGAAAAAGGCGTTTTTTGGAGGCCTTTTTGGCCATGGTAATGTTGACGCCAGATTAATTGTTGACCCCGGATTAATAAACCCATCCACCTAGAGGGTAAACCCCCTCTAGTGACGAAAGTTCACTGAACCGGGTGGACGATCCCCATCAAAATCAACCAGGCCCTTGGAGTTTTGACCCCTCCAATGCAGACGCCCGGGCCCTCCACTGAAGAACCCAGACCAATGCCCCCCGGGGCCCGTCAAAGCGTGGTTATCCTGGGTCAACATTTGCTCAACATTGGTAACATCCGATTCGAAATTATATAGAAGCCGGGTCGTTTTTTGCGTTTGGATGCCGCAAAGCATGGATACTCACCGGGTTGTCCACTACCTCCTGTCAGCAGGTGCCAGGGTTCCCCAGATTATGTTTTTGAACATCATCGGTCAATTTAAAGGGTTCCTTTTGGTGATGTGCCCATTGAACATCTCAGCCCTGTTTCTGGACTCAAGACCACCGAGACTTAAATGGTTGCGGTGTAAAATGTGGTTTTACCGATTGGGTGTGAACAAATGACTGGAACTCCAGTTCGGAGTGTCCGGGCTCAGGTACCTATGAGTTCGTGGTCACAGTGCGCAAGTCGCAGTTTGTCCCGCGCTCAGCCGATTCGACTGGTTTTGGGGTCCTTTAGGAATTCTCCGAAGGGACCAAGGGACCAATTCATTGGGGTCGTTTTGGGGATTTTGGCTTCCCTTTACCAAAAAGGTTACCAGAAAGGAGCAACCAATTTTGAGACTGCAATTCACCCAAGACGCCGAGATGGACCTTAGAGTTGAAGGGCTGCCAAAGAGACGACACATTTCTTCGAACAGATTCGACATTTTAGGGTTCACAGGTTGTGGTCCGGAATAAGACATGTTCTTGGGGCGAGGTAGTACCTACCCTTGACAAGATCTGTCCCTACACTCCCGACTCTCACTGTGAGCCCATCTTATTTGGGCTTTGGGAGTTATAATTATGTAAGTTAATCCTGCCCATGATCTTGGGGCAGGAAGAATAATCCCAGGATGAATCCATTCTGAAACCCGAATATGCCCGGAGCCACTTTGAACCACTCCATTTGGAGATATTTGGAGCCTATTGGGCCCATTGACCAAGTAGCTTGAAAGGCCGGGAATGAAAGGCCGGGAAAGAAGTGACACATGTCAGGACTTGTTCGCCCGATGTCATGACTCTGGGCTGGTGCAAAATGCCTCCATGCCAAAGGGCAGCCCTGATTCCTTTGAGGTTCCTCCTCGTGGCCACCGACGACACGCTGGCCCCATCAACCCCCAGGTGAGGCATGCGATCGGGGTCCAAATCATAGCTCAGGCAACCCTTGGTTGGTGGTTCGGATTGGTTGGCGATTTGAACCTCTGGTTGTTGTATATAGGGTGTAAATGGGAGACCACCCCGGAACCACCAAACCAATCCAAGCCGCCAATTGGAGGGAAGCTGAATGGTCCCTTCAAGAAGAACCCTCGCAACAGTGCTCTGAACTCGGGTCCGCCGTCCATACTTATCCCAAGTACGCAGGTCTTCTGACCAAGGGCTCTTCCATTGGATTGTGGCTCAGGCAAGGAGCATCCAAAGGGTCTCAGGTTGCAGTTCTTTCCCCGTTGGAGTGTATACCCTCTCGGACTTTTCTCAGAAAGAAACTCACCGTTAGGCCACCATTCAAAGTTGTCCCTTTGCCTTAACCGATTGTGGTCCCCTGGTATTCGAAGGGTGCACCATGAAAGCAAAGGTTGGGTTACATGTTATTACAACCGCCACTGTCTAAGGAGTTTCATCTTCTAAATTGGGTCCCAAGGCCATTATTTGAAGAGGAACCCTTGGGTGGCAGGGGTTTTGAGTGGACATCAAGTGGACATTTCTTGTAGCTTGCCCGCCTGTCCATTGCTCCTTTCTAGACAGCGAAACGGCGAGGGAAAGCAGCAGTTGCCGACCAAACCCAGGAAAAAAAAATGGAGTTGGGGAATCTCCCCTGGGCTCATGCAAACCCCATATTGGTCCCTAAAACAATCTGTTGGGACCCCCGAAACAGACGAATCGGAGCCTTGGGGCACGGGAACGTTCACAGGCAGTCCACTTGGAGAAGCTGTACCTGGATGTGGTGCCGGAAGTGGATGGCACCAGGCGCGAAAGCGGAAGCCAACCCAAAAGCGAGCCAATGGGATTGAACCTTGGCAGTTGTTGTGCAGAACGGTTGATGAACTTCAGTAGTGCCCTTTTACCAACTGTTTTGGGGGAGGGTTCCCTACGAACTAGACTACCGAAAAAAAGGTGCCCTTATTGTGGGCCAGCTTCACTGTTCTTAGCATGTCGTTTGTTTTGCCCCAACTGAAAGTTGTGGGGTAGAAGCGGCAGCAAGACATCCAAGTCGCATTGCAGTTCTTCCCCTCGTGTGTTGGGTGGTACCAGCGAGCCACTGTGGCACCCAACAAACCACATTCTTAGAGGAAGCTTCTTTTGGGAGACACTGAATTTGGGGGGGGGTTCCCTGGTAATTTGTAGGGAGTAAGTGGCATAGTTTGAGCTCTTTGAGGACGTGCGATTGATATGCCAGAGGTCTGAACTTTCAAGGAACTTCGAGGGAAATGCTCGGAGCCCCCTGAAGCGGGTTGAGACCCTCAATTCGGCGATCGTCGTATTCTACAGAACTCGCCGGAAGGACATGCTTTGAAATGGCAACATACCGGGCGGTTACCGGCATGCTAGCATAACTCACGCACCTAGTTGGTCATAGCTGGTTGTGCAAGTTTATACTATCTGAGTTTAGTTCACATGTTTGCGCCGGGTTTGGTTGTTCGCTAGTTGTGCTTTGTTTGGTTTGTTGGATGTTTGCGTGTTTCATTTGTTGGTGTTTGTTTTGCTTGCTTCCTTGTGTTCATGCTTGCTTGCTGTTTCGCTTGCTTGCTTGCTTGCTTGCTTGCTCGCTTGCTTCCTTGTGTTCATGCTTGCTTGCTGTTTCGCTTGCTTGCTTGCTTGCTTGCTTGCTTGCTTGCTTGCTTGCTTGCTTGCCTGCCTGCCTGCCTGCCTGCCTGCCTGCCTGCCTGCTTGCTTGCTTGCTTGCTTGCTTGCTTGCTTTTTTGCTTGTTTGCTTGTTCGCTTCTTTTCGTACTTGCGGGCTTGCTTGCTTGTATTTATGCTTGTGCTCGTGCTTGCTGGCTAGCTTTCTTGCTTGCTTGCTTGCTTGCTTGCTTGCTTGCTTGCTTGCTTGCCTGCCTGCCTGCCTGGCTGCCTGCCTGCTTGCTTGCTTGCTTGCTTGCTTTTTTGCTTGTTTGCTTGCTTGTTCGCTTGCTTGCTTCTTTTCGTACTTGCGGGCTTGCTTGCTTGTATTTATGCTTGTGCTCGTGCTTGCTGGCTAGCTTGCTTGCTTGTTTCTCGCTTGATTGATTGTTGTTTTGCTCGTTTTCTCACTTGTTTTCATGGCTTGCTTGTTTGCTTGCTTGCTTTCTTGCTTACTTGCTTGGGTGTGTGTTTGTGTGTTTGTGTTTGTTTGGGCGACCCTTGGCATTTGAGTATTCTTTGGGGCTTCGCGTGCAGTTTGGCCAGGCTGCGGGTGGAATACATCGGCGACGGCTTGGCGTGGGCACCAAAGGCGCCCGGTCTCGAGGCGCCCAGTGGGTGAGTTGCCCACATCTAAATACGGGTTTCCCGTTGGATTCCCCAAGCTGCTTTCCCGAAGCTTTGACCTTACTTTTCAAGCTTTCGTGCTGCGGGTGGTTTTTCAAAGCTGGTTCGGACGTTGATTTAGGGCCACGGGTTCCAGGTTGCAGGTTTTTCGCCGAACTGTTTGCCTGACTTTCGCTGCTTCGGTGCTGCGGATTGTGCACCAAACCTTGGTCTGGACCTCATTTGGGGGCTGTGTGTTGGAGATTGCCCTTTGTTGCTACTTGGTGGCATTTCCCTACTTTGGTCTGGCTCTGAGGCCGCTTTCGGCTCACTGCGTCTCGAGCAGACTTGTCCGCCGCAAGGGTTCAGAAAGATTTGTTGGATAGATGAATAGAAAGGTAGACAGATAGATAGATGCATAGGTGGACAGACAGAAAGATAGATAGACAGATAGGTAGATAGTTAGCTAGAAACCTTGACACATAGAAAGTGATTAACTAGAAGACGTAGATAGAGAAATACACAGACAGATAGATGGAAAGATAGACAGGCACACATGAGCTTCTCAGCACAAAAGCCGCACAAAAGGCAATTCGCTTCTCGATTGGGCTGCTGCCATTTGAGGAAGAGAAATATAAATATATACAGACAGATCGATGGACAGAGAGACCGTCAGATAGATAGATGTATGCATGGGTGAATAGATAGATGCATAGATAGACCATATATAGATAGATAGATATACAGGTAGATAGACAAGGCATGACAAGGCAGACAGACAGATAGACAGATTAGTTTGATATATACTTAGATAGATAGATAGATAGATAGATAGATAGATAGATAGATAGACGGCTAGACCGGGTAGACCGGGTAGACCGGGCAGACAGATGGATAGGTAGACAGATAGCTAGATGGATACAGACAGACACATAGATTGATCGGTGTGTAAACCGGTAGGTAGATATTTGTTTTGATTGATTAATTGGTTGATAGATGAACGCGAGAAATGGACAAAGAGAGCCAGAGGGAAAGGAAAGAAGACAACAAAAGGTGGGAATGAGAACGAGCGATAAAGATAAGGACAGATAGAAAGAAGTTTTGACTGAGAAATAGAAAGACAAAGGGACAGAGGACGATAAGGAGAAAGAGCAAGAAGAGAGCGAAGCAAGAAGCCCAAGATAAAGAAGCGACAGAGAGATAAAAGGAGGGAATGACGAAGAAGAGCAGACCAACAACAGGATAAAGGAAAAGACACAGACAAAAGGAATACAGCGAGAAAGAGAGAGAGAGAGAGAGACACAAGAAAGGAGAAAGGGAGGAAAGATAAAGATAAGGACAAAGATAAACAGAAAGAGAAGACTAAAGGGAAACGAAGAGAAAGACACAAAGGTAGAAAGAGAGGGAGCGAGACACAGAAATACAGGATAAAATCATATAGCAGAAAGGAAGAAGAGCAACATCAATAAATAAAGATGAACAAGTACATAAATGAAGGAATTATATAAAACAAAAATGAGCACAATGGAAACAAATACTGCAGGAAGGAAGAAACATAGAAAGATGGAAGGAAGATAAAATAAGGACACCAACAAATCAATAAGTGATCAAGTAATGAAACAAATCACAAAACAAGTAAGCAAAGGAACAAGCAAACGAGGCAGACAGATAAAGATAAATTATGACACTGAACTAGGAAGAGAAAGGTCAAGAGAGAGAGAGAAAGGGAGGTAAAGAGACACGGGGCTATAGTTCTTAGACTTGTTGAAACTTCCGCACTCCGGCTTCGCCAGCGCTTCTGGTACCCAGTGGATCCCAGGCAAGACACTATAAGGGAACCCCCGCGCAGTTTTCCTCTAATATCTTGAAAGGATGGATCCCTTGGCTTGAGAGGGAAATGAATCCACTGTAGGGGTTGTGTTTGTCCAGGCGGGTGAATGCTTATTATTTGTTTCATCGGTGTGTCCTCGATGGAGCCCTAAGTAGTTGTCTTGGTTCTGTCTTAAGGTGAATGGGGTATCAGGTAGGGAAAATGACACTTAGCCACTTGGCGGTCAAAACTGCAGTCTTTTCTCCACATCTTTTTGGAGGGTGTTCCTTTAAAGCAGGAAGCCAGGAGCTCGTGACCCATCCAATGCCACACCCAAGGACGAACCACGACCAAGGCCCTGAAACATCGCAACAGCGCCTCGCGCCAGCCTCGCGCTGCCTCGCACCCAGGTCGCAGCCTGGAACCGGGCCAACCCATACTTCGCAGCCGTCCCGGCGATGTTTGCTCTCGGGCGGCACCGAAAGGCTCATGACTTGTTAGGTTACCCGTGGATATACGGGGCAACCAGGAGCCCTTTGAACCAGCAAGGCACTGACCCAGATTTCCTCCGGGTTGACATGAAGAGCATGCCCTTTATATGTCATGACCCCTGAGCAACCTTACTTCATCCCTTCAATGGAGAACCTATGGCGACCAATTCCGCAGATCATTTGTGAGGGCTCAAGAACAATCGAACAGAGTGCATCGGGTGGTTTCCCCAACTTGCTCGGCTGGAGCGAAGAGATCTTGCTTGTATTTTCATGCCTCCGGCAGTTTTCGGCTACAGAGGTAGAGCGAGTCGCTTTGAACCCTTCCTGTTGGACGCAGACAGCAGCTTTGTCTAAGACCTCTCCTCCACCCGTCGTTGACCACTTGTAGATGGCTTGAAATTATTATTGAGGTTTGTCCAAAAACCACGAGGCCTTGAGCACCAGGCCCCAGAGAATGTCACTTCCGAAGGTGTGGAGTCACCAAAAATCCGAGCACGGGGTGCTTTGTTTGCGATCAGCAGTTGCTCACTCACTTGCTTGATAAGGAGTCCCGATTGACAAAGCCCAATATAAAAACTAACGGCTAATTTGATTTCAAACAACAAACACCGGTTTCTTATTTAGGTCCGTGTAGCACTGATCTTTCATCATCCTAAAAAATCAAGCCAATAGGATTATATGTCAGGAAAGGACCTGGTGCGGTGGTGCTTCGAGAAACGTCAAAGGTTTATGCAGACAAGCGCAGCAGGACCAGCTCAAACAATGATTCCATGGATTCTCGCCTCACGAAACCAGGCTTTCATGTGGGCGTTTCTTTTTTTGGTTGGCAAGAGAAAACACACACACAACACAAACACCAACCCCCGCACCAGGCCCTAAAGGGAAGGTGTGTTTTCAGCTCCTTGTTTCCAACCCCAGGCGTGAATCGACAAACAAAAAAAACAACACTGCCGCCCCAACTAGGCAAATTCAATTTATGAGGGTTTCTCAAAAAAGGATGGCCCCCCTTTGGGTGGTATTTAAAGGACACCAGAGGAAAGCACCCATCTTGGGGGACTGCTACTTTGAGAAACCCCGAAGTTAGAGAAACAAAAACACAGCCTAGTTGCCATGTTCAAAACACGCCCAAAAGTGTCCCTCAGACGTTGGGTTTTCTTTGGAGATGCCTAGAAAACCCTTTGTTTCGCTCCCCAAATCCAGGCCGATCACTTTGTGTTCCAAGTTTGCAAGTGAGAGCATAGTTGCAAACATAATTTTGTCTCCTACCAAAACGACATGATACTTTTAGGCTAGACTGGATATGAACCAGAAATTCTAAAGGTTAGTTTGTTTAGTCTACCCTGTGTAAACATCATCAGAACACAACAAAACGTATTTGTGGGCTTCCGCCCCTTTTTAGAGCAACACGACGTATTTTTGGTTGGGCCAATAAAAGGACCGCCGGATTTGTTCATTCCGATTGCCAGGTTCGGCCTGGAGACTCCATCGTGAAGGCGGAGATCCCATCGAAGAGTGAGGCGAGCAGCAGAGCTTGCCGAAACGACGGAAACGACGAAGGCTAGGGGGGCTTATTTCTGGGCTGTTTACAGGTAATCCTGAACCCTTACCTTCGGTTACGCAAGGGATGCCTTTTGTAGTGGTTTTCAAAATAGGGATTATGGATTAGGATTGACCAACTCTCCATTTTGAACAGCCCCGCTTATTCCCTCTGTCACTAACACGGCACCACAAAAAGTCCCTCCAAGAAGAATCTGATCTTGCAGGTAGCCTCCCACTGGTGCAAGGTTAGTGGGAGGAACTGTAAGGCTTTGTTGATTTGGTGGTGGTTCCTTTGTGGGGTTGATAGCCCTTTAACAGCGTGGTTGTTCGGGAGCCTCAAGGAACCTCCACCCATCTTTTTTTTTTTTGGGGGGGGGCACTCCTATTTTGCGACATGCCCATGTCCGAGCCGAGCACCTAGATGTACCGGCTTAAGCAGGTAGCCATGGAGAGTGGGCGAACCATGTTTCGGCCAGATGTTACAAGTCTCCCGCAGATTTAAGTGTAACTTTTGGCAACCAATGAACAAAAACTAGAGAGGGTTGTAACCACGACAAAGAACCTGTTACAACGACAAAGGTCATTGTTGCAACGAAAAAGAATCTTGTTACACCGACAAGTTTCAGTGAAGACTGTCCCGACAAGGCTTCTACTACTATTACTATTACTGCTATTACTACTACTATTACTATTACTGCTATTACTACTACTACTATTATTACTACTATTACTACTACTACTATTACTACTATTACTACT